AACCCGCGGATCGTACGCGCGGTAAGCGTGTCACTTGCCACTACACCAACCCTTCCTCACCAACTGTCAGTGTTTTATTCTCTTAGAGCAGTCTGGCACCAAGTTACTGTGTGGACAGCGACTGGCTCATCTCCTAAAAAACGTTGACAACGCCCTGAATAAAGCCCTCGGTTCCGAATACTGGACGAGTGCGCGGAAGAGCGAGACTGCGGGCGCGAGCAAGATAATCGAGGCGCACTGCACGGCCTCACGTGAAGATGGGCAGCACGACAGCATTGCCCTCAGACATGTGTAGATGTTGGTAATAAGGTATCAGCTTGCTTTGTGCGCTCTTCTGAGTCGCAAAAAGTCGACTTCTCCGAATGGGTACTGGCTCGGCTACCTACTTATGGAGTGGACTGGACTTCACTACAAGCCCTCTGGGAGAGTTTTCGGTGATAACTCACAGTAGAAGAAGTGTTCTCCTCCCCTCAATCTCTCAATCGTTTCAGCTGAGGTCCCCTCCCCTCAGTCTCTCAATCGTTTCAACTGAGGTCACCCCCGAGGCAGACATCGCTGACATCTGGTTTGAGCCACCGCGGCAACCTGTCAATACGAAATCGAGAACGCTCTCTGGCAAAGTTTTTAATAGTTTTCTATTTACGTATCCGTTTCTTTTTTGAATAAAGCACATGTAGGAGGCTATATCAATGTCTCAATCCTTTGGGTGTCCGGGAGAGGGGGGGGGGTTTCCCATGTTGAGTCAAATTAAGTTGAAGGCTCACTTCCATGCGGTCAGGTTTCTTAAGTTTAGACCCAGCAACCATTACTACCCATGGAACCGAGGAACTTTTTTTTTACGATGCTCCTTTGACAAGGCACTTTCACTTGCTTATCGGCATTTACCCCACAAGTAAGCCTAACAAGGGAGGTCTTTCAGGTCGTGGCGCGCTTTTCGGAAATGATTTGTTGCATGTTGTAGAGGTCCGAATAAGGATCACAAAAATGGGTTTCATTTTTGCTATGCGTTTCTGGGTAGGTCAAAAACTGAGTGCAAAGTTTGCTGGGGAGAAGCGATTTTGAACCATTTTTCCGAGGCTTTTTCTATTCATAATGTTAAGTATGCATAGCAGATGAGACCTTCGTCGACACTGCATCGAAAAACAATACAATTCAAGGTAAAAAGTACTTTATTTGGCACATAGTGAGGCAGCATTGTAGTTTCTCAAGAGATTCTCGCAGCATCCCAACCCGCAGCTGGCGTGAGGGGGTGTTCAGAGCCATGTTGGCGCCAAATGACCTAGACGCCAATTTTAAAGGTCAGAATCGTCATCAGGGCCATTAATAACCTCTATATACAGACTTTCAGCAAAAATTTTCTCCTCGAGATGAGCGCTTAACAGCCCCTGCGTGCGGGTTGGCAACAATTCAGTGGAAGAATGCTCTTGCAGCAAGTCGGCGCTAGGCTGCGCCGTGGTCAAAAATGGGTGTCGTAAATCCAAAACCGAAAAACGTATAAAGTATCCGAAAAATGCAAAGAGCTAGTCGCCAAGGGGATCCGATCCAAGAACCTTCTTCGCGAGAGCCCACCGCACTATCCACTCCGCCATCCGCGACGCGAAACAGCGGTTGCGAGAATCGTTCAAGTAACTTCGGTATTACTCCCCTCCGTCCACTTTCTTATTGGCTTTACTTTGCTATCTTTTCAATACATAGTGAAGGGACACCTCATGAATTATGCACTGTCAAAGTTACAGCTACAACAGAGCCCATTAACACGGTTAAAATCGCGATTTCTCGTCAAATTGTTTTCACTCAGTTTTTGACCTCCCCAGAAACGCATAGCAAAAATGAAACCCATTTTTGTAAACCTTGCATGGACCCCTACAACAAGCAACAAACCATTTTTAAAAAACGCGCCACGACCTCAAAGACCTCCCTTGTTAGTCCTGATAACTTTCTTGTCTTACTTTGCACTACTTTCTCATCTCTACTGATATGTGCAGAACTTGATCCAGCTCACCATAAATCGTAGATGCTCGCGTGCGGTCAATGTTCCAATAAACATGTTCTCTTGCTGTACAAGGCCGATATCTGAAAAAGAGATGTCGTGTACCTTGCTCCTCCTATTTCATAAGTCCATAAGTTTTGAGAGATTGTACTGTAGGTTACTGATTGCGATTGGTTTGATATTTGGCAAACTAATCACCTGCTGTACTGTTATGATTGTATTCTGTCTACTTGGGAGAGGTTTAGGATCATTTCTTGCTGAGATGCCCCAACATAGGTAGCGAATGTAGTGGCGGCAAGTGATTGTCAACTTTATCATCATCATGCGGCCCGCGTCCAAATTCACGGAGCTAAGGCAAGTCAACAAGCCATCTTTCTGTTTCGGAGCTAATCACTTGGTACCAACTTCATGTGGGAGGATGCAAAACCCTGATTTGTGCATTGGTTTTCACCCTCTCCCCTCCTCCCTAGCATTGCATGAGGAACGCTTGCAGCATCTTTAAAGGAAGTTGGCACGATAAATTGGAACTCCGTCTAAAATGGTAGCAAGTGTGGTAACGTCGTCATCCGGGGACTCGATTAGGGCTGCAAGGGTCGCGACGCGGCTGCTAGCGCGTCACGACCGCGGCGATCAGCTGCTTGCAGCCTAATTTGGCCTTTTTTTCTCCCCTAAAATTCACTGCGTTTTCTTTTTTTCAAGGTTAGCTGTTTTATTGCCTTTATCAAAGTACAAGAAGGACGTAGAGTATTTTTTTTTTGTAGTGGAGTGTTTCGCTATTTTTTCCAGGTGGTTTTTCAATTGTTTGCCTAATTGTTTAGTTGTGCGCAAAATTCAGAGGAATCTCAGCCGTAATTTACGTTGCGAAGACAAGAAACAACTAACCTCAAGAAAAGCAGCCAAAAACAGTGAAAATTAGGGGGATTATGGCTAAATAGGCTGGAAACAGCTGATCGCCGCGCTTGCAACACGCCGCAGCCGCGTCGCGACCCTTGGCCGCCCTAATCAAGTCCCCGGATGACGGCTGTGTATATAATGGGAAAATATCGAAATAGCGAAGTGAAACGGTTAGAAACCTGCGAAAAAACCTTCCCTTACACGACTCAGAAAGCAAATTTTGGACGAGTTCCCCGCTGACGTCGTGCCAACCTGCTACTACAGATACGGCTACATGTAAGTGCTCACATGTCTATGCACCACCGCACCTACTTCATATGAAGCCGCCTGCTTCATATTTTACTCCGCAAATGAAGCTATACGAGCATCAGAATCGGTCGTACACCTGTGGGTGGACGGCCGAGGTGGACCTTTTAGGTCGTACTTTGCAGCGTAATAGGGCGCTATAAGAGTATCTTCCTTTGAGAAGGCGCCGCAGCACTTGCTCAGGGTCGCCGAATTCTGTCCTGCTGGGCGTATGAGGCCTTTTACACGATACTTGAAGATTAATCGTGCCAATTGCTTTCAAAAAGTTCATCAATGGCGCAAGCTCAACCATTAAGGCTTGTGAAGATGCAGTAGGGTTTCGAACAGTTCTGCCAACTGACTACTACGGTTGTTCGCTGATGGGGAGTGTAAGCACAGTTGGGGATGGTGCATCGTCAGCCGGTTCTCCGTTCAGTTGCAGGAGCTGCAAAATTGGTAAAAAGCGACTGAGATGAGCAATGTGATACAGTCTCGTAGCTTACCAAAATGAAAAAAAAGAAACGGGCAGATGCCGCTCCAAACTCAACCCGTTTGACACGACCCCACCCACAGCCTCAAGTTCCTCGGTTGGAGTATTCTAAAAATTTTCGCAAAAAAGGACAAATAGCAGGTTTTCATGTACTGTGAATTCAAAGGTATGAATAGGGGTGGTAGATACTGCGCATAGGGAGGTGTTTGGTTTTATTTTTACAAAATGCCTTATTTTTCCGTTTTCTGCCATATTGCACGTGAACGTTCAAGGAAAATTACATACTTCCTTCATTCTCCATTTGCTTACGCACCTTCCATCCACAGTGACAAAACCGCTGACGTCCAATCCAGAAAGGTTTCTTGAAGTGAGCACATTCAATAGCGACGTTTTTCCAGCCCCACTGGAATCAAATTTCACCGCAGTTGCGCAATACGTTGAAAAAAGAATGACCTCACCTGCTTCCCATTATCGCTAGAAGTTTTCCAGCTCTTAGCCACACCACTCACTAGAATGCAACGATTTCAATTATTGCTTTCGAACCAGATTCTCTTAATATCGCATTTTCTGACGTAAAACTGAGCCTTTTTGAGGAAGTTAGTGAGGGCAGTTATAGGACCTTGTATCATTTCACGTCAGAAAGTACCATATTAGGTAGTCCGGAATGGTCTCAGCTCTGTGCGTTTTGAGTGTTTCACTTACAAAACGATCATAGCTTTTTCAATACTTCATCGCGATTTAACACAAATAAGCACCGAGTTGAAGCACTACTTTTGCCAATGTGGAACATCGGACAAAAATCCCATCAAAGAAAAAAACTTAGGCTGAAACTCGAGAAATCCATGAAATCCACGAGTCATTTTTTGCCTGGTCCTGACTGATGAAGTATTTTCCAGCAAGGAAGTTCTGAAAATGTTTGAAAGGTGATAGTCGGTTGGTGAAAGGTCTGGAGAATATGGCGGGTGAGGTAGAACTTCAACTCCCAATTCGTTCAATTTATGGATAGTGATTTGTGAAACGTGTGTGGCGGGCGTTGTGAAGAAGAAACCTCGAGACGTGCCAATTTCTGCCGGTCACTCAAATTGTGGGGCACCCACTTGTCGAGTTTTTTCACCTTCCCAATGCGTTTCAGACCATCTGCAACAGTGGATTTGCCAACGCCTAGCTTTCAGCAATCTCTCGAACTGTCTGGGATGGGTCAGCCTCCAAAAACCCCTTCAAAATCTCGCCAGGTATCGCTTTAGGTCGACCGCTACGAGGTTCACCTTCAAGGCTGAAATCTCCAGAACGAAATTGTCGAACCATTGTCGCATGGTGCTTTTGCAACCCACACCTGGTTGATTTGTCGAGCTGTCTCGACTGCGGATTGACCCAATTTTTAGTTGAAGAAAATATCGTCCGAAGTTGCTCTTTTGACATGCTTCAAAAAGTCTTGGGAAAAGAGGGGTTTATCAAGCAATGGTGAAACGGCAGTTATACCATCAGATAGCGCAAAAATTCTCTTCAGGATGTACTACTGAGACGCAAGGGAGAGTGAATTAGCAATGAATGTTCAAAAAATAGTACATTTACCCTTTACTGCCCAGTTCATCCGGAAATCAGGGGGGGGGGGGCCAAGGGCTTTTTCCATGACGATTTTTTCTCCGTGGGCCCAGAATTTTGCTGGAAACTTATTTCCAGGGTTTTCGACCGCTGAACACGAATATCGCATCCGCTCGACCCGAAACCTCCTGGCGCCCGCGCCACGGGCGCCGGCGCCAAAATAGTCGAAATCACCAGATTCGCTGAAAACTTGCTCCCAGGGGTGGTTTGACCCCCTGATGACGAATATCACATCCGCTAAGCGCAAAACCTCCTGCCGCCCGCGCTACAGGTGCTGGCGCCAAAATACCCCAGATCACCGGCGCCTGTGGCGCGGGCGCCAGGAGGTTTCGGGCTATGCGAATGTCTTATTCGTATTCAGGAGGTCAAAATACCCCAGGAGACAACATTTGAGCCAAATCTGTCCACGGAGAAAAAAGTCGGTCAGAAACTGGCTCAATTCGGGATTGTTGGGGCAGTAAAGGGTAAATAGTGCCCAAAAAATAGTACCACAAAACGCTGAGAACTTTCCGGACAACCTAATACCAACGAGAAGGCGCAAGAAAGCGTAAGTGGCCCCTTCTGGTACGGGTAAACTACGGGCTCCCTTATGTGTCTGTCGTCTCACTCATTTCATGCTCTCTCGCTGCATTTACTAGTCTCCCTCTCGAAATCCCAATGAAAACTCGCTTCAGGTGGCGTTCATACTTTGCAAGCTGCTACCAGCGACCAATAGCGTTGGGCAGCGTCAGCGATTGAGAAAGTATAGATTTCGATCTAGCGCCTGCTAGTGTCCACCTGCGTCTGCACGCGTCCGCCAGCGTCTACCACCGTCCACAGCGTCTCGAGGGCTAGGGAAGTGTAGGTAATCGATCTTGCCTCACCAGCTTCCGATGGTGGAGATATGCGTGTTAGGAGGGTAAAGACATGTCTGAACGAGTATTGGGAAGATAAAGAGGGTAGCAGAGCTGTAACCTTCTATCGTACCATATCCCTACCAGCAGTCTGCTGTTGGTCGCTGGTGGACGTAGGTAGACGCTCGCTGACGCTAGATCGACGCCTATACTTGACGCGAGAAGCTGGTGGACGCTGGAAGACACTGGTGGACGCTAGATTGGTATCTATACTTTCCTAGTCGCTGACGCTAACAGACGCTCGGAAGGCTGGAGGACATAATGGCCGCTGGTTAATGCTGCCGCAAAGC